TCAAGCCTTGAAATTGACGTAGCGCGAGAATTCTGGTCTTCTAGCGACAGACTCGCCGTTTTCAAACTCAACAATATACAGACGTTTATTTAGATGATATTCTGGTAGTTTATCCGTTTTATATAGCTTTTCCTTTTTTTTTTTTGGTTTTCTCTTTTTCTCTTTTCTATTAATAAATGAATTTTTACTAATTCATATATAAAGTATTCATAAAATAGTATAATGATTATGAGTTATTTTAACTTCTAATTGTGTTCGATACAAATTCGAATTTATTAGAACTAGGTAAATGTTAACATATTGGGGTGTACGAATTACAAATATAGTGCAGGTCATTATTTTCGCTCGGATTTCATTTCAAATACAACACATTCAATTCAATTTTTGCATAATTCAAATGCTTAAGATACATATGAAGAAAACTATGGGAATGGTGCCGCTGCTGCCATTGCGGTTTTTTAACACCTTAGCATATTTTATTTCTCCTAATCAGGCCATGGAATATGCACAGGTTTCAGAACAGTATGGGTTTACACAGCTGTTTCGCTTCTGCTTCTCAAGAACAGTGTGGGGTTTTCACAGCTGTTCCGATCTTATCAGGACAGTGTGGGGTTTACACAGCCAGTGTTGTATATTTTCATTATTCAAAGATTTTTGAGTGAAGTTTTCTCAATAACTGCCTGTTCAAATTCGATGAAATTTTTTTTATAAAAAAAATTTCATCGAATTTGGACAGGTAGTTATTTAGAAAACTTCACTCAAAAATCTTTGGACAATGAAAATGTGCAACACTATACACAGCCGCCCATTTCTTCTAACACGATCACATGGTTCTGCAGCGTTGATGAGTCGTTTCTTGTTCAAACAGTTATCTAAACTTAATTTCCTTTGGGAGAGGTGGGTGGGGGGAACCTTTCGATTAGCCGGAGAATAGGGTTTCGGTAACTACTAAAGCAGTGAAAGAAAAGCACAATTTCTCTCTTTGATTTTGTGGCTTACTTATACTCATCATTAGACTCGCAAGGTCAGTGATCTCATCATCATGCAATCAAAAAAAAAGAAAAAATCAATCATTCGACCTGATCTACGAAACTACTATTTGAAAATCGGCCTGGCCGGATCAGCAAAATTATACAATCTAACGCTAACTAGCATTGCGTTGCTACTGAAGTTTATAAATAGTTTTATTGTTATATAAAATTTAAAAAATTGAGGGTCTATATATATATTAATGTGTATTGGGTTTATAAATTTTAAAAATAGAAAGAATTAAATTGGTCTGGCCTAAGTTAATGCGTGGCATTTTGTGTCCGGATCATGTAATGAATAAAAAATATAACTATTCACATGCTTGTAATGCATCAAAAACGTAACTTTTGTATCACCTTACCTAAACATATGGAGTCTTTGCCTTGAAAATGACCTTACAAGACTATGTAGATTTTATGAATAAAAAAAAAATTTTTAGCCATCTAATAATCCAATTCAAATAATTTTTTTTTATATTGCAGAACTCACTAAGCTCTATAAAATAAAAAAGTTTATTTGAATTGGATTACTGGACAGCTAGAAATTTTATTTTTATTCATAAAATCTACATAGTCCCGTAAAGTCATTTTCAAAGCAAAGACCCCATATGTCCGTCGCTATGCTCCGGACAATAAGATGGGTAAGAAATACTACTATATATGAAAATTAAAAATCACTTGGGTGATGAATAAATGTACTCTTTATAATTTTTTTTTAACTGTAAAATTATTAGATTTAAGTTTATCTAATTAAATTAGCTAGATATTAAAATATCTTTAATCAAAATCGAAGTTTAAAATTAATTTTCAATATATCTTATATTTAATAAATTTTTAAATTTTTACAAAATATTAATTAAAAATATAAAGTATCTTGCTATTTAGTTAACCAAATTCAATAAATTTTTAAGTTGAAAACTAGTACCAAAAAAAAATTAAACCCGTAATTGACAAAGCCAATGCCGATCCCAACTCTTTGAAACTATTTCTTTAAAGTTGGTGTTGAAACCTGCTTGGTTCTTTTTTTCTGTAGATACAATTGACCCAGAATACATTATATATGATCAAGGCTGGCAAGAAAGGCAGAAACCTGTTCAAGTGACATAGACATAACATATAAGGCGTCATACAAAAGAGTGGTTAGATAGAATGTGATATGTTGCACAAAGGATTTGTTCAGTAATGTGTGATCCAAAAAAAAGTTGCTGTTAAAACTTACTCCAAGCACAGAATTCATATTAAAAAAAGTCGATTACGTCTTTGTTAAATACAGCTACCCGCATAAGATCAGTGCAAAGAACATAAAGGTTGTTGGCCTCTTCTTGAACTTTTTGCTTCATCATGTTCAAGACAGCTGATTGATTTTGGTAATAATGGTATCAGGTTGTTTGGCCTGCCTATTGGCTTTCTAGCCTTGCCTCTTTAATTGACCTGCAATATTCCCATTGATTAGAAAATATATAAATGAAGATATTATTAAGTTAAAGAGCTTACCATCGCAGGAATACATCGCGGTCAGGATCCATAAAAGAAAAAAAATAGTCACAAGAAAGACCGCGTACAGGATGCTGTTAACAAATTTTCCCAGCAATAGTCACAGGAGTACTGTAGTGACGTTGCTGACAAATTTTCCAAGCAAAATGGTCGCAAAAGTGAACTGAGAATTGGATCAATGTAAGTGATGCACAGTTCTAACTCTCCAACAGGGGCTTTTTAATGTGACTCTTGGTATTGTATTGGCGTGTAATAACATGCAGATGCGCGTTATTTCGAGACCCTGCATGTTATTTTGGGACGTGCATGTGCGGTAATTTGAATAATTTTGACAAATTTGGGTTACAAGAGGAAGCCCTACTTTTAAGAAAAAATTCAGATTGTTGAGATGCTGTGATGTGCTAACAAATACCAGCAGGTGAACACGTGATTGTTAAGTTGTTGTTGACGTGTCAACCCTACTTTTATTCTAAGCTGATCACTTAACTGTAAAGTTATTTAGAACAGAAGTTCCTAATGATCGTTCTTCGTTCGAGCCAGTTGCTACTATTACACCTAGAGTTTTCAAATATGTATTATGTTCTTTTTGTTTATTACCTTTCCAATTATCTTCGTTCTTTCAAAAGTTGAGAAGGTTAAAAAGCAACCAATTCGAAGTTTCTGAAAAAAGGCTGTTTTCATTTTTTCTTCTATGAAGAGAATATATAACTGTATTCCGGAAATCTATTTAAAGTCATTAGTGCTGTGATAATGCGTAATTGTCTGATTTCCAAGCCACTTGAATTTAAAAATTAAATTAATTTTTTTTTTTTTTTTTTTTTTTTTTTTTTAAGTGAGGTCTTTTCCTCAGTTCCTTTATTATTCATTATGCAGATA